CCCCGCCCCGCCCCCACTCGCTGGAGCGCCCTGCGAAGGGCAAGAGGGCGAAGCCGCCGCCAGATGCGAACCTGACGACGGCCCCGGGCAAGGGAGAGAGTCACCCCCCGGACCGTCCCGTGGGGGGCTGACCGGCCCGAGCAGCCCGTGGGCCTGTAACAATAACAGGCTCGGTGCCCTTGCGATTGGCGGCTCTCATGAGGGGGGGGGGGGCGCGCGCGGATCCGCGCGCGCCCTGGTGAAAGGACGATGAATTCGTGGGGATTCCCTTCTGCCAACGGAGGTTACATGACCTTCCAACCGCGGGGGTGACCCTAACCCTGGGTCATGAGGTCACGGAGGATCTTCCAGAAGGCTTGTCGTGCGCGCGCCGGTTCGTCTGATGTTCCTCGGCGGCGCGGACTTCGGCCGGTCCCCAAGGGAGACAGCGACAACGCGGTGCCTTGGGTGTCCTCGTGCATCCTCCACCCACCCAGTGGGCGGATGTGGCTCCTCGACTGGCCCCTCTCCTTGGTGGCTACGGCGGCAGCCTTGATGGTGGAGGTGCAATCGAATCTGGGGCTCCCCTGGGTCGCCCCTCCTATGGAAACGGCGGCGGTCTTCCTTGGTGGATGATTGGCGGTGGCCAGCGGGAGGCTGGCGCCTGCCCAGGCCGCCTTGTTGTCGTACACACCCGGAGGCGGCAATCGTGGCCCAAACCGATCTACATCCCCTCGAGCTCTCGGGCGCCGGTCCCTGCACAGGGATCGGGCAGGTGGTCCATCTCTTTGCGGGCAACTTTTGTCGGCGCCCCCTCCGGTGCCGAAGAGGACGCCGAGGAGGCCGAGGGCAGGGGGACTTACTTCCGGTCCTCCGGTTCCACGCCAAAGCCTATGCCGTCCTGCTTGGGCGGCCCGATGGCTCGGCCGCATCCTACCCCCCCCCCCCCCGCGGTGGAGCTGGACCCTCAGCGGTGGGGTCTCTTGAAAGAGACAGACAGAGAAGCCGGACCGCGGGACCAGAAGGATGCCATCATTTTAGGGGCGCCTCCGAGGGATGGAGCGCAGTACCTTGCTGGAGGAATCTGGGGCCTGGGCTTTTATCCACCGGAGAAACTTCCATGGCATTCTACCCTCACGTGAAGGCATATCGCAGTCAGGCCTGCAAGCGGGGATCCCGGGAAAGCCCCATAACAACCGGGGCCCCAGAATCACGACTGCATCGCAGGGGGGCGTGGCGGCGACGGTGGGGGGCCGATTCGCGGGCGGGCTTTTTTCATTTGAAGATCACAGCCGTTCCGAGGGCGGGAGAGAGAAAAAAGCCAGGGAGGGCGGGAGAGCATTGGCGGCTTCCTAGGGCCATGCCCCGAGAGGGGGTACCGTTGGTGCTCGGGTTGGCCGCGGAAGTCTCCCGTCGCGCGGGCCTCACGGCCTCCGATCCGGTGTCATGTCCGGGGCGGGGATTTCCGCGCGCCCACATCCGGACCACGCTGGTTTGATCGCCCCAGGGCGTGCCCCCCCCCCCCCCCGTCAAAAGTCCCAAGAAACCGAGCGGGGTTTCACGCGGCAGGGTGGCGCACACCTCGCGCCTGCAAAAATTACAAATAAGTGCCAGCCGCGGCACCACCACCTTGTGTCCGAATGATGTAGATGGTTATCATATCTGTCTAACACACAGAATGTCCCAGGTTCGAGTCCTGGTTCGGACAGTGTTTCCTTTTGCCCCGCGCCCCCACATCCGGGGGGTTCACGCGAGGCGGGTGAGACTGTTCTTCTTTTTCTCCACCCCAGCTCCCGACAGTCCCACGGCTCCGGAGAGCAACTCCACTCACTCGCCGCCCGGCCCTGGCCTCCTCCTCCTTTTCGCCTCCCCACTGCGCCCCTCGTCGCCTATGCCACACCCGGCCCCCTGGTCATAAGCCCCGCGTGGCCGACTCATCCCCTCTTCCCCCTTCCCCCCCCCCCCGCCCCCCGCCCCCCGCCCCCTCCCTGCACCTTGTGCCTGCTGTGGCCGGGCGCATAACATGTCCAAACCTTGGGAGAGTTCCCTCTTCGCCCTGGCGGACCTCGAGTCCGACGATGAGTTCGAGCGGTCACTGCGCTTTCGGGGCTCGGATGGCCTGGAGGCCGTGGCCCTTGCCCCGGCACCGTCCACCACTCCGGCACCCCTGTTCCTGACCCCGGCCCCGCTCTTCGAGCCGGTTTTGCCCTTCTCCCTGGTTACCCCCCCGGCCTCGGTTCCCTCCTCTGCGGAGCCCCTGCCGGCCGGTCCCCCCTCGCCGCCCGGGCCGGCACCATTTCTCGGCGTGCATGTGCCCTCCCAGCCGCGCCGCAGCCCGCCGGCTCTGGCGCCACAATCCCCACCTCCGCCGGCGGATGCTCCGGAGGCAGATCCCCCTGCCCGGCCCCGGCGTGTGCCCAAGCGCCCCACTGGCTCCCTGCCGGCCAAGCGTGAGCGAGGCCCGGAGACGCCCCTCCCAGCCGGATCTGAGTCCCTGGTCACACCTACCCCTGTCCGGCGATCGTTGCGCATCTCCCGCAAGAAAGGTCCCCCCGGCAAGGCGCCCGCCACTTCGGCCACGGCGAAGGCCCAGCTTAGCCTCTTCTCCCCGGGCGAGGCGTCCACCCTCACCCAAATCGAGGACGCCATTTCCTCCACCAAGGCCAGCCTCACCGCCTCGCTGGTCATCAACGAGTTTCACATCCATCTGCAGACCCTTCGCCCCGTCTGCCCGACACATTCGCCCGACGATCCTCAAGAGCCCGATGAAACCTTCGAGCGCCTCCTCGACACCATCAGCCGCGCCTGGCTTCCCGCCCTCATGGCCGGCGACCTCCGCCTGGCCCTGTCCTTTGCACATCTCCTTTGGACCGACATCCTGCTGGCTCCGGTGCCGGATGCGATTCTCCTGCGTCGGCGGGCGCTGGCCCTCTTCCGTGACATCCTGCTCGCCGTGACCAGGGCCGCCATCGCCTCGGCATCTGCCTCCCGGATCCAGGACGCGGACAATCCCCTTTCCGTGGTGTTCGGCTGGGCTGCCCCGAAGCGACTCCTGGCAGATCGCCTTCAACAGCCCCTACCGGCTCTTGCTCATGTGCTCCTGTCCACCAACCGCCCGAATGGCAGCACACTTCCCAGCACCCCGGTCCCAGGCCGGGGGGTCGACTCGAAGAGACCCATTTTTCCCGTGGCCCTGGAGATCGCCCGCCCGGGTCGGCTCCCCCGCGTCCGCACCCATGGCGGCTCTTCTGACACCCCGTCCACCCCCCGGCGCCCAGGCCGTCGGGGATGCCTTCTAGCTCCGCCCACTCCGACGACTCCGGGCCGCCGAAAGTCACAATCCGCCCCGCCGGTCCTGGCTCCCACTCCTGAGGATCTCCATGCCGAGGGAGCCGTCCTGATCGTGTTGGCATTTGCCGAGTGGGTTTCTCTCAGGTAGGTAGCGCCATCTTTCTCCGCATTTGACCCGCCCTCCCCCCGGGGGCAAGTGTGCCAAGCTTCCTCTTCCTGCTCTCTCTCTCTCTCTCTCTCTCTACCAAGCCATCTGACCTGTGCATTTCCCCGCAGGATGCACATCGTTGTCACGGTTCCCGGGGCGCCGGCATTTCGAAGGGGCACTCAACATTTGGAAGCCCTTTTGGCCGACTGGGCCGCCGCCACATCGGCGCTCATTGTCTGCCTGCTGGACCAGCGCCGCGCTCGGCCACATTATACCCCCCTCCGTGAGGCCCTCTCCATCTTGGACACCATGTTGAGCCGAATCCCGGGAGAGCTCCTCCATCGTGCCGGCCACTGTGCGGTGCGTTTCCAGGCCTCCCTCCTCCATTCGCGGCCTCCGATGATCTCTTTCCCTTTTTTCCCTCCCTTTCTTTCTTTCCCCCGCCAAACCATGATCCGTCGGACAAATGCCTTTTCCTGCACTCCCACAGGCACACATGCCGACGTGATCGCTCCCGCTGCCTCTCTTCCTCTCTTTCTCACTTTCACACGCACACGCACACGCACACGCACACAACCATGACCATATGACACCACGAACCAACACCATCATCGCAGAATGCCCTCCGCGACTCGGTTCTTTTCTCCGTAATCGCTCTCTTTCCCCAGCATCGAGACCGGCGCACCACACCTGACGTTCGCGCCTCTCTGCGGCAATTTTACGGGCGCCTGTGCATTGGTCTGCTTGAGATCCTGACAGGCGCTCATGTTGCTCCGATCACCACCTCAGCGACTCCTGTTGCCCATTTGCCAAACTGCTTCGCCACACGAGGCCTCCTCCTGCTCCTGGTCAGCCTGGCACCCGACCCGGATGAATGCTTCAAAAGCCTGATCATTTTCAACCAGCTATACGCGCAAGATGAGCTCCTGTCAGGGCGTCCGGCTCCCAATCGCCCGGAATATCGCCTGTCTTCCCCGGAGCTCCTTGGCCTGACGGCGTTTTCCCGAATGCCGGCGGTGGTTTCCATCCAAACGCTCATTTCGATCGCTTGCAAGTGCATCATCCAGCCCTTCATCGAATCGTCCGTCCCCCCGGCCACCGCCCCGGCACCTGCCCCAGTCAAGGGCCCCTCCTTTGCCTCGCCCTACCTCGAGTCCTTCAGCAGCCTTTTCACCTCATCCGATGCCCAGGGGCCGCTTCTCGGCCCACCGCCCCGGGATCCTCCCGGCCCCCCAAGCAACCTGCATCCCAAGCACTTTTCCGAAGCCGATTGGTACAATCTCTTTTGTCTCCTCTACTTTTTCCCCATGTCGGCCATGATCCCGACCCCTCCATCATTGATGGCCTCGGATCATCTCGACACCCGGCGCTCGGTCCGGCATCGTCAAACCCCTCCGCGCCTTTCGCTGGAGCCATCCAAATCCCCCATCGAGACTCCAAGCCAGTCCTGGAGCCGCCTGGCCAATCGCCTCCGTGCCGCCCTCAACGCCGCTCCCTTCAACCTTCAGGTCACCTCCACCTCTCGGGCCCAGGTTTTAGCCCTGATCACCGGGGCCCTTGACATCGCCGGCTCAATGGCCCTGGCCCTCCGATGAGCCGAACCCCCCAATTCGCTGTTGCCTCCGGCCGAATAGACGCTCCCTGTCGCATCCGCCCTTTCTGCCCGCCAGCCAGTGATGTCCGCCTACTTCTTCGGTGGGTTTCTTCTTTCTCTCCCCTCGTCTTACGCGGAGCCCACAGCCCCATGGAAGGGAAACTAAATCAAGACCGTCCCACACCCGGCCGAGCGTCGCACATTGTGCTGGCCATCCCTCGGGGCTCTCCGATCAAGGACCACACCAGACCGTCTCCTTCCCCCCCCCCCCCCCCCCCCCCCCCCCCCCCCCCCCCCCCCCCCCCCCCCCCCCCCCCCCCCCCCCCCCCCCCCCCCCGCGGGTGCGCCATGTGCGGGGTTTTTTCCCCAAGGAGGGGGGGAAACGGGCCGGGTGGGGGGGGGGGGGGGGGGGGGGGGGGGAATGCCACTCTTGGGTAGGATCCAGGCAACGTGGAGCAATCCCCCCGCCCCCCCCCTTTGTACAAGCACACGACCTTTCGGCATCTAGTTGGTGTATTCCACAGGAGCCCGAGCTATTGCTGGGCTTTGCCTGTCGGCGGCGGCTCCGCTACCGATTCGATGATCTGCCCGTCTGGAGTGAAGTATAGCCGGAAATAGCGATTGACCGTGGACTGGGGTAACTCCATCTGCAATGCAACGTCCTTCTTCGAGATGCCCTGCTCGAAGTGCAAGCGGCCCAGAGTTTCGAGAAGCGAGCGAGGCGGCAGCCGTCCCCTGGTTGGCAGATTCAGCTTCTTGCACTCCCGATAGAGGGTCATTTTGGATAAGCCAAGACTCATGGCCAAATCCCTGACGGAGGGGGGCTCTTCCGAGGAAAAGGCCGCCTTAATCTGCTCAATCTGGTGCTCCGACACGCGTGCCGAAGGGGCCTTCATGCCGGATCCATATTTGCTCATGGCCAGCGAGATGGAGTTGGCTGACACCGATAGTTCCCGGGCCATGTCGGTATTCGATGGCCTTACGAGGCCGGTGCACAGCTCATCCAGTCGCCAGAGACAGGGCCGGAAGCTCAGGTCGGCGTTCGGCATCTTCTTGTCCAGCAACGTCATCATCACCGAGGGGGTGACATTCACCAGCTTGCTCAGCATGGCCTTCGAAGGCGGCGGGTCCAAGCCAGCCAGCCAAACGATGTCCTCCTCAAGCTCCTCGACGGGTCGGAATTTCGAAGGTGGCGAGATGCTGTGGCGTTCCAGATATTGGACCATCAACCGCGAGGCTGTCTGCTTATCCCGGCCAATCAGACGGCCGACTGCTTGCTCCGATGGCAGGCCCTGATTCTTTAGCCCAAGTATCCGAAGCAAAAGCCCCAACGAGGCCGGCCGGTTGATGCCCTCAGGCAGCTTGCTCTTGCCCTGCTCCACGGCCAGGCACAATTGGACTCCCGGCAAGTGGGTCTGCGAACGCAAACTCGCAGGCAGGCCTGTCGATGTTAGCGGACAGGGCCTTGTCAGGGAGGAAATGGGCCGCAAAGCCCGGGGCTTGGCTGACAAAGCCGAAGAGGCTCCCAGCCAGCATCGAAATCCATGCCGACTGAACAACATGCTTTCAGTCACAGAGAGGGAGCAGCAGGAAAGGGAGAGAGTCCGAGAGGGGGGAAGAGGCGAAGGTTGGGCATTCGGCGGGGAAGGGGAGGGGGGCATACTTGGTCTCATGCGCAGGAGACACCCGGAGGGGCCTTTTTGAAATCCTCTTCCACCAGTGTGCTTTACCCCCTGCCTACCGTATTGCCCGGGGTTCCCGATCCCGCACGCTCGCCCGATTTCGGAGGGGAGGCATGCTCCGGCACGCCCATTGCTGGTACCATGCGTTGGTAGTAGGGCTTCTGGATCTATCCAGAGCCTGGGTCCCAACACTTTGGAGGTGGCCCGCAGGTGTTTAGACCATGCCGCGAGACGCTCCCCCCAGGCATCGGAATACGCGTCAGGGCTCGGGCTTCATGAGAGTCCCTGGCATCGTTCCCCCTAAAGACCGGCGATCTGAATAGGGCTCTCTGCTAACCGGAGCTCGGCCAGCCGCTGTTGCCGCTCGGCCCAATGGGCAAGCGATCCGGACCACCGAGAAAGCCCTCGAGGGCCACTCGGGGCGTTCCATCTCGATGGGGGGCGGGGGCCGGGGGGGCCGTGCGGGCAAAGGGCAACAGCAGGAAAGGGCGAATCAGGAAAGCGTGCGAACCACATCGTTGTGAAGAGTGCGCCAGGGACGGCGTTTCACCCTTCCGGGAGGGGGCATCATCGGGCAGGGCATCCGGCCCGATCGAAGCACAGAACTGGTCCCCGAGATTCGGGCCCCTCTGGGAGGGGCTCGGGTCTTGGGGGGAAGGGAAAGATACAGCCTCCGCAAATGCAGGCGCCCAGGAAGGAGGAGGTGCGCGGAGAGGCGAGCGGAGCGACTGGAAAGAGGCACCCTCCTCTGCTCCCTCCCTCCCTCGCCAGGGGTTGTGGTCAGAGCTGTGGCGGAAAGGCAACACCGAAGGAGCTGAGGCCAGCCAGGAACGGGGGGGGGGGGGCAGCCGTACCGAGGTGAGCCCACAAAACGCATATATTCCCAAAAGTGGGTATTCTACCATCCGCCTCGATAGCTCAGTTGGGAGAGCGTGTGACTGAAGATCACAAGGTCACCAGTTCAATCCTGGTTCGAGGCACTCTCTTTTCTTTTTTCCGGCGTCACATTTTTCGAGCCACGGCCACTGTGTGCGCCTCTTCTTTTGTCGCTCTTGTACACTCTTTGGCCTTTTTTTTTTTTTTTTCCATCTCCACCTCGAGTCTCGCTCTTTTTTTATTCTACCCCTTTCCCCGACAGGAAAGGAGTGTCATGGCCGGGCGGAGAACAAAACCCCGTCCCCTCCGCCATCTCTCTCCCACACACAGATGCACAGACATCCGCGGCCGGGTGGGCTTTCTCCTACTGCTCGGGCGCCTCCTCGGAAAGACGTCTCTGCCGAGCCTGCTCGCGTCGTACCCGGCGCTCCTCTGGTCGTGAGGGGGTTCTCAAGAAGTCAGTCAATCGGAGCGGCCCATACACATAGCAGCATCAAGAATTCAAACGTACCACGGGCACGGTCTAGCTGTTCGCGCTCGAAGGCCTTGCGCTCGTCCGACACCGCCATCGAGATCTCCAATTCATTTTCGATCATTCGCCGGGCAACATGCATCGAGAAAGCCGGCCGGTCTGAGCGTCCGGTCCGAGCATTGCGCAGCGCCGGGGCACTGGTCGAGCCTGACTCAGCGGAGGCTCCCGAGGCAGTGGGGGGGCCCGAGGCACTGGCGCCCATCGGAATGTCCACGGCGGTCGACACGCCGGCGGATTTCAGATCACCCGCCTCCGTGGCGATGCCCGCCGCCACAGGCTCCCCCTCCTCGGTGGCAGAAGCCAGGGGCTTCACGGTCTCCGGCACGCCATCTGTGGAAATGCCACTCGGCCCAGTGGACGCGGCAATCACCGTGGACTCCAGCCGGTCGGCGAGGCTGTCCACCGACTCAGCTGGAGCAGGCGCGGGGCGAACCGTGCGCCGGCTGGCAAACCCGGCAAAGAGCTCTTCCGGTGGGGTTTCCGTGCGACCGGATGCGGAGCGATTGTTCGGACGCCGCCGATTGGGGCGTTTCCCCCCGGCCGGGGACTGGCTCGACGCCGAGGCCCTGGGCTCGTCAATGGTCGATGGCGGCATGGATTGGCGACAGCCTAGAGGGAGGGGGAGGGGGCAAGGGGAGGGGCGGTGGAGCAGGGGGGGGGGGCAGTGGGAGCTGGCAGAAAAGGCAAAAGGAAAAGGGTCCCTTCAGGAAGAGGTGGCAGCGCGTTGTCGTTCATCTGGGGAGAGAGAGACGGCGACACGGAGCCGCCCAAAAAGGGCGACCTGGTCCCTTGCCCAACAACCCGGACCCCATGCAGAAGGCTGGCAACAACAGAGAGAGAGAGAGAGAGAGGGACAGAGAGCAAGAGACACAGAGAGAAAATAAGCAGAACCTCCATGTTTGCCCTTCATCTCCGATCTCATGATTCAGAACGGGGGCCAACAGGCTCGTGGGACGTCGGGATCTATTCTTCGGACGGGCGCAATCGGCGGGGCCACTGGCGCCCCCATCACAGGACGTCGGCCAGTTCCTGGGAGAGAGACCGCCGCAGGGTGCCAGGAGCAGGGGCGTCGGCCGAACGCTCAGCGAAGAGGACCGCCCCCAGACCGGGCTTGGTCCCGGGGGTGGCACTGGTCGCCCAAAAGTTGTCGCCAATGATGTCAATGTGCAGCGCATGGAAGTCCTTTCGCAGGTTGGCCGCCTTGCGTTGCTTGCGCTCCTCCTTGGCCAGGGCCCGGCGCAAGGCCCGGCCCTTCAAATGCGACGTCGAGGAGGACGACATGGCGGCCGCCGTATCGTCCGCCTTCTCGGTCACCTCGCCTGCCTCCTGCTCAGAGGGGGAGACCGATAGCCCGGCCACGCTGGCCTCTAGTGCCCCGGCCCCCGCCAATGGCGACACGGGGAAGCCCTCGACCGATTGGTCATTAGCCGGCCAGGGGAGCAAGTCCGTACAGCCGCCCGGCAGGAAGGCATCCGCCGGGAAGGCACCGGGCTCCTCCTTCGCCAAAAAGGTTCCCTTCCGGAAAACCGCCGACAGGGTATTGTAGTTGATGCCAAACTGCGAGTACAGGAGCTCATTCTTGTCATTCGAGAAGGTGCCCTACATGTGGGTGGATCCCATGATGGAAGGGTCAGAAACCTTGTTGACATCGCCCGGCAGGCACGTCTCAGCCCCGCCGGGGCGGTGCGAGCAAAAGAGCAACAGCAAGTGATGTCGGATGGGGGAGGACATGAAGCAAGCAAAGGCGAGAACGCACATCCAGGCGGGCCTCCGCCTCGGGTGGGGTCATCCCGCCCTGCTGGACCAGCGCCCAGAAGCAAGTGTTATAAAGGTTGTTGATGTGGCCTGCTCGAGCACCGCAGGGAAGGGGCAACGGGGACGGGTCGGCATTAGAATGGCCAACCACGGGCACTATGGAAAGACAGACACAGAAAGAGAGGCGGGGAGAAGAGGGCAGGGGCAAGGCCCAGCGCCACCCTCCAAAGGGGATATCGCCACACACGCACAGTCTGCTTGGCGCCAGCTGAAGTAGTCGCGAACATGCTGCACAGTGGGGTAGGAAACCACACGCGAGTCGAAGGCCGGTGGGTACTGCAGCGGGGTGGTGGGGAAGTACTCGGCCCAGTGGAAGACAAAGGCCGACGAAAAGGCCGAGCTGACTGACGAAGCGATCTTCGACAATCGCCGAGAGTAAAGCTGCGTCGATTTGTGCAGGACAAAGCTGAAGAGCCCATTGCCATGACCCGTCCCAGACCGGCAGGGGGTGCGGGAGGCGGGAGGGGGCATGGACGCGACGGTCAGCCATCGGGAGCCATGCGAGGAGAGAGAGAGAGAGAGAGAGGCGGGGGGAGGGGAGGGGGGGGGATTCTCATGGACAATCGCCTCCACGCCCCCTGGCGAGATCGCACCTGTACTCGTCGCTCTGTCCGTAGGCGGCGCAGCACTCGTTGAACTCCCGAGCCACATGCATGGCCGCGCGATTCATCAGCTGGATCCCTCGCACGTCATTGGGCTTGACATAATTGTGAGCTTGGGTGAAGCGCGAAAAGCCGCGGCCATCCACGCGGATCACCAGCCAGGTGTCCCGCGGAAGGAAGTACTCCGACGCCTGCTCGAAGTGCCGCACGTAGGCGAAGCGTGTGTTGGCCATGAAAAAAAAAAAGACCCACGAAAGCCCGAAAAATGGGAGATGTGGAGAAGGAGCAAGGAAAAAGGAGGGGGACGTGAAGTAATCGCACCAGGCCCACGCCTACCAGATCCTGGCTCAAAAAAGGCCGATGTTCATTTGTTCAGACCCTTGCCCCTGCCCTCCCCCGCGCACAACACACACACACACACACACACACACACACACACACACACACACACACACACACGCGCGCGCGCCAGGCCGCGCTGGTTCTGGATGTTCTCCAGCCGGGTGTCTTCTCGATGGAGATGTATGCAAACAGGCGTGTATTCTCTCCAGAAGGGCGCAGATGCCAATCCTCGCGCTCAGGCGTTCAGTGCACCGGCAGACGAGGAGACTGCCTCCGCCTCGCCGGGCAATGACGACCCCGAGGAGATGCGATCCAGCGAGGCTTCCGAAATGCCGATCAATACCCGGAGGCTCTCGTTCTCCCGGCGTAGGGCGGCCATCTCCCGGTTGACAGCGCTTTCGTCCTCGGATTGCAGGGCCGCCGCATTGCGGATGATCGCATGTGCGCGGTCCAACCGGTCCGTCAATCGGAGCCCAACCTGCTGGAGCTGGTCCACCTGCTCGCGAAGACCCTGCCAGGGGAGGGGGAAGAGGGCAAAGGGGGACAGGACCGGACAATAGAGTGCGCGGTCAGTGTGACTGCGGGGGACAAGGAGAGCGAGAGCGAGAGCGAGAGCGAGAGAGAGAGAGAGAGAGAGAGAGAGAAAGAAAGAGAGAGAGGAAGATCAAACAGAAGGCCGATATGATGAGCACCCGAACAATGAGGAGGACACGCACCTGGTTCTCGGCTGCAAGATGATCGATCTTGGCCAGCAGCCCTTGCCGATCTGACTGAACACTGGCCTGCCAGAGGAAAAGCGGTGGGTGGGCGGGGGGGGGGGGGGAGGGGACCGGGAGGATGAGGGAGGATGAGGGAGGAGGGGGAGGGTAAGTAAAAGCCCAGATACACAAAGGCAAGGGAATCGCCACACGACGTACGGCCAGCGTCTTGTGCTTGTTCATCAGTCGCCCAACGGTCGCATGGTAATCACGCAGAGTCTCGACCAGCGAGGCGTTTTCCCGCTGCAGGTGAAGCAACTGCTCGTCTGGTCCCCCGATGTCGCCCGGAGCGCCAGAACTGGCCGCATGCGCACGCAATGCATCCAAGTCAGGCAGGCCCACGTCGCCCGGGAACTCCGGAGATACAAGGTCCGCCAGGGACTGCGGCACACGCGAGGCAGCCCAGTGAAGAGGCGACGTAGTCGAATGCGTCGTCGAGTCGGCAGGCACCGCGGGATCGGGAGTCGTCGCGCCAGTTCGAGGGGTCTACGAAGGCAGGAAAGGCAAGGGAGAGCAAGGTCGGGAGCAGCGTGTTAGTCGCCGGAGGGGGGGAGGGAAAGAGGGGGAGAACCCTTCGCTCCCGTGGGTTGCGGCGCTCAGAGGAAGAAAGAGCCAGGTGAGGATCATGAAAGAACGCACAGCGCCAGGATCACCAGGGTGCCGTCCGGAGAGTGGCACAAAGTAGCGCCAAACCCGTCGCCCGGTGCGCAGCAGCCCCGATGTTCCGATGACCGAGAGAACCAAGAGGGAAACGCCAACAGCCAGCGTAGTCATGATGAATGACTTCAGTCAGAGAAGGGGGAGGGGGGATGAGTGGATGGGAAACTGGACATCGATCCTCCCCCACACGCGCAGGCCCCCGCCGAGGAACCAAAACCCGGAGGGGGGTGGGAGTGGGGGAAGGCATCCATTGGGAAGGGAGGGGGAGACAGAAGAGGGAGGGAGGAGAGGGAAGGAAGGAGAGGGCGGAAAGGGCGGAAAGGGCGGAAAGAGAGGAAAGGGCGGAAAGAGAGGAAAGGGCGGAAAGAGAGGAAAGAGAGAGGAGGGGGAAATAGTAGGGGAAAGACAGGGGGAAAATAAACGCACCGATGCCGAGGATGATTGGTCCCCCGAGACAGCCAGCTGCTGCTGGGAATCCAGCTGGGCCGAGAGCTCCTGGATCAGGGCGCCAAACTCGGACAGGGTGTTGTTGATCGAGTGGGCCGAGGGGACCGACATCGTGGAGGGGGGGGGGGGGGGAGCGGGGTAGGTAGGTGGGTGTACGAGGTTGCTACGCGTGCGGGCCCATGAACAGGAGGTGGAGCCAGGAGGGAAAACCGAGGTACGTGGAGAAGGTACCCAAAAGCAGGGGACGCGCGTGGCAGACGGGGTGGAGAAAGAGAGAGAGAGAGAGAAGAAGAGATGAAGGGAGATGGGGGCTTGGCAAAAGGGCATCACAGGCGAGTCAGCCGTAAGGGGAGCCGAAAAAGAGGGGGGAAGTGAAAATAAAACACAAGACCCCTGAGGGAGGAGGGGGTGGCCCGCAACCGGACGCACCCGCCCCGCCGCATACTCCGGTGGAATTTTTGCCCGGGCCAACACCCCGCGCGCATTCCCTGGTACCCGCACGCCAACCGGCGACCAATGTCCACAGGAAGAGGGAGATGTGCGGCAAGGCGGAAACCGGCTCCACCGAGATGTTCCCCGGACAAATAGACAGCCCCTGGGTGAGCGTGGTTGTAAGTGAAGATGCCGCTCTTACCCGCCGCGCAGAGAAGGTACCTCGCCAAGTTTTCAAGACTGGCAACATCGGAAGGCAAAGAGAACGGCATCACAATCGACGGCATCACATGCCCAGATGGGTATGTTGCTCAAATGCATAATGCATGTGATCCATGCCCTGTGACTGCATCGGCGGCTGCGGCCCCGCTTGCGGTCGCCCCGCCTGCTGCTGCCATGCGTCCCGCGCTGGTTCTGCGCCAGACGGTGCAGAAAAAAACCCTCCCCATTCAAGACCCTTCAGATTGGCCAGTCAGTGCCTGATGACTCCCGGCCTTTCGGACCCCCTCCAGCACCGGGGCCCCTCTGTTAGTGATCCCTCGCGGGAGTGAACAGGCCAACGAGCGAACAGACATCATTCTCAACGGCCAATCGCCCTGCCCCCTGCCCCTCGTCTCGCGCCTTCCCCAAAGCTCGGCTCCCCATTCAGGAGAGAAAAAGAGAGAGGGCTCCCCCCTGTGTTGTTTGACCGGCTTCATCAGTGGCGTTGCCTAAGGAGGCGTGTATTTTTGGATCAACCGCACGCGCACACAGGAGAGGGCGTGGGCATACGGCGCATCCTCTCTCTCTCTCTCTCATGGGCGCGTGTGTGGCGGAGGGGAGGGAAGGGAAGGAGGGGGGGGGGGAACACAGCACGGAGGACGCGTGTGTTGCCAGATATCACCACACGACTGCCCCCTCCCGGGCTTCTGCGTGGAAAAAGGACGAAGAAGGGGGCCCCCGAAGGCATGAGGAGTCACCCTCTCCTCTCGCGATGAGAGGAGGGACAGAGAACAAGATCAGGCGGCAGATGCACGCTGAGGAGGGGAAAGAGGGGGGAGGAGGGTGGCCGATCGTGACATGAGGGGCGCGTGCCATTTAGAAGAAGTCATCATCCTCGTCGTCGGTGGCGAAGAACATGTCGTCCTCCGACTCGGCAGCATTGCCATACTCGTCGCCAGTGCCGCCCAGGCGGTAGCGCAGCACACCACCAATACCACCGAAGCCCTTGACGAACTGCGACCCCTCGGGAGAGCGGTCGGAAATAAACTCAAGGACAACACCTGGGAGAGGGGAAGAGGAGAAGAGCAGGATCAGGAGGTGAGTGAGTCTGAATGCACGTAGGGCGCATGGGGGGCAGAGGAAGCGAGGGCAACACGTACCAAACTTCTGGTAGTTCTCGGTGAGCCACTCGACGAGGGACATGGCCTCGGTGACCTCGACCTCGTCATCGGACTTGGGATCCTTGATCTTGTCGGTCTCGGCGGGCAGGTCGAGGTAGAGGACACGCTCAGCTGGGAGAGTGAGGAAGGAGGAGTGAGTTTGCTGTTGCGGGCGGGGGGGGGGGGGGGGGGGGGGGGGGATGTCTGGCAGTGGGGCAAGGGAAATGGACGCACTGCCATCGCGGGTCTTGCCCTGGAACCGGGTGATCGTCAAGTTCTCGAAGACAATCAGGGTGGAAATGGCGCCGTTCTCAAGAGCCTGTGTTGTGGTCCGATTGAAGCAGCGAGAAGGAGGGAGGGGCCCCGAGGGAAATGAGCGGGAAGGCGTGTCAGACACAAGTACGAAAGAAACGGGGCGCAGTGATCCGCTTTCACTCGGCGTGGTGGGCGAAAAAAAGAAGAAGAGGAAGAGGAGATAGTCTCCGCTCTCCCCCCCCCCCCTTAGATGATGGACCGAGAGCCAGCCATCTGGTCACGGAAACACAGCCCCCGGACGCACCTCCAGAGTCTCATGCAAGCCGAAGCAGTAGAGGCCGGAGTCGGTGGAAATCTGCTCGAAGAACTGCTCGAGGAGCTTCTTCTCGTGAACAAACTTGACATTGGCGAGGGCATCCTGCGACAGGGAAATGGCCTGGCTGAAGCCGTTCTCACCGCCGTAGGAGACGTCAATGATCTTGATGATCTTCGGGACCAGGCGCTGGTCGAACATCTCGGACTGGCTGAGCTCAGTCTTGAAATCGGCAGAACCGGCAAGAATCAGACCGTAGACGTTGGGCTGGGAAACAGGGGCACAAACGGAGGGACAAAGGGAAAGGCAGCCATGCATGTCCCCCGTCCCGGAGAGGAAGGAGAGGAAACACATTTGCGTGCGTGCGCGAATGCGGAAAGCTTGTCAGAATACATCCACCATCCATGGGAGGGGGCGAGGAGGAGGAAGAGGAGGAGGGCGACAGGGGGGACAAAAGTCGACAAACGAGAAAGGCCAGAGGATTGACGCACACGATCGTTGGTAATGAAGAGCTGGGTGGCCAACTCACACACCTTACGGGTGTAGTTGTGGCGCCGCTCCGTACGCAGACGCGAGAAACGAACGGCAGACTGACCACCACGACCGTGCTTCTTCGGCAGATCGACGGAGAACTTGTGGAGCACCTCACGATTGTTACCGGTGACCGCACCGAAGAGGGTGCCGGAACCATCCATGATGATGAAGCCAAACCGGTGGTCATCCTCCAGCAGCTCACTCAGGGCCTCGGTGTGGAAGCGGTTGTCGCACATGTACAGCGAGGTGTTGATCGGCTTGAAGGGCTCGAAGTCGATGGTCACCTGGCGCTCCTTGCCCTCGGGGGTCATGACGGTGCCGCAATAGATAATCAGGCCGTTGGGGGGGACTGCGGAGGAAGAGGGATGAGTAACTGGCAGACGAGATACAAGGTCCGGTGATGGCGCGAACACGGACACACATGGACACACATGGACACACACGGACACACACGGACACACACACAGACACACACACAGACACACACACACACACACACACACACACACACACAGACACACACACACACACACACACACACACACACACACACACGCAGACTAAGCATCATACCACGCCCGCCAGCGCGAGAAGGGAGAAAAAGCCAAAAACAAAGACCCCAAAAGACCAGTCCGTACCCTTGTTGTACAGCTTCAGGCGCTGGATACTGGAGGTAATGGCGGCAAGCACGGAGAGGCGGTTCACACGAGACTTGATGTTGTTGGCGGTACCAGCCTCCTCGTTGAGCATCTTAGACACACGGGAGATCTGATCCTTCGGGGGGATGATGAGGGAGATCATGGATGTACCATTACTGGGGAGGGGGCAGAGGGAGGTTAATTCGAGGGGAGACTCGGACAAAGAACCGACCTCAAGGGAATGAACTCAAACGCACCCACGGGCATCCTGAAGACTCTTGATGAGCTTCTTGATCTTCCACATCTCAATGTCCTTGTTGGGCTCGGTGCTTGGAGTCGACATGGTGCAGATGAAACTTCCTCTGAGGGGGACTCTCCTGCTACAAAGGGGAAGAGACGAAGAACCAGTAGTGTTAAAAGGGGAAGAGGTCGAGACAATAAGGGAGGAGGGGGGGGGGGGATGAGGCATGATGGGCTGAGCATGGATCAATGTCCAGAGGGGAGGGGAGAGAGGGGGGGCTACTTATATCTCGCCCCCACACTCTTTGTCGGTCCCCCTCCCCCCCCCTTCTCCGAGACGAGGGAGGGGTAGGGGGGGGGCGGGAGGAGGGAGCGAGGCTGGCGTCATGGCCACCACAGGACCACCAGCAGGAAAGGGGCAGCGAGGGGCGATGGAGTGAAGGCAGAGAAGGGGAAAATACCAAAAACAGCAGGGTGCTCGGGGAGTGGAGAGGGGGAGGAAGGATTCGAGAGGTGGGTGGTCCTCTGGCAAACGTGCAACTGGGGGCCGCAAAAACTCACCCCACCACCCCTGTGTGCCCGAATCCCGGGGTACTTCGGGGGAGACCCCAGGGGAGAAAAGTACGGGCTTCTCTCCGAATGGCCCTCCTGGCAGTACCACGCGCTCCGAGTCACGGATGCAAGCCCGGAACCGTGGTGCTGGAGACAGGGTCCGTAGATTGCGAGGCCTGCCGGGGGGGGGGGGGGGGGG